AGATGTATAAGGAATTCTTACTCAGTAATCAATAACAATATATATATTTATATTTAATTATTTAATTTATCACCTTTTTGCTATAGCGGAAAATTCATACTGTTGAAATTAATATTATAGTCTTTTGAATTGTAGTCTTTTTCTTTTTCTTTTTCTGACCCTAAATGAAAATTACGACAGCCAACTAGAAAGCTTAGCTCCTTTGGCTGTCGTACACTTACACCTATTATATTGTTAATTATATTAAAAATTCTAAATATTATTCAACTATATATATTCTTGTAATTCTATTATATAAAATTGAAAAAAACAATGTAAATAAACTGAAATTGAATTGAATCGTTGTTGTTGTTGATGATGATGATGATGTTTCAGTTGTTGTTTTGTTAGATCTGTTAGATGGTGTCAGTTGCCAACAACTCCAAGCACGTAGCCACAGTTTCAAGTCTTTCAAGTTGAGAAAAGACATAAGAGAAAAACTGAAAAAAGAAAAAATGTTACGAGAGAAAACAAAACAAAAGAAAATGATAACAAGAAAAGAAGGGGAAAAAGACAATCGAATCGAAGAGAAAGAAGAAAAAAAAAAGGGAAAAGTCAAGAAAATACACCTCAAAACCTAAATAATCTTAATGATTATAGGCTATAAATTGTCATTTTTAAGCCCTCTTCCCTTTTTAAACGACATTTTTTCTAACAAGTGAGCGTTATTTTACTGTTATATCATCAAGGGGAAGTCACGCAAGCTAGAACATCGATATTTCCTTAAGTGATGTAGGTTACCATGGTGATTGTCTCAAAAATCATACGAAATTAGGATTGTTGTTGGATTGTCGGGGTATTCTCATGAAAGATGAGGGTAAGGGGGAACTAATGCTGTATAAAAACAAGTTGCTAGCGACTTTGGGTTTTGGACGGAATTTTTTCATGTATTTCACCAATAATTTAACAATTATTCGACGAAGGCAAAGTGAATATTGGGGAATATTTTTGACACAAGTGAATATAATAAATAACGTAGAGAGAGGATTTTTCTCTTTCAAATTCTCTGCAAGAGGCACAAATCGATATTGGGCTGCCTGTGGTAGATTTTCGACGACCTGGACTGGGAGCGAACTTGCATGCAAACGAGGGAAGAACTGACTGAAGTACTTTGTTCGACCATCGAGATTTCTTTCTTATTTTTCTTAAACATTGGCCAGTAAATATTTCAGAAAATAACTCATAAACACTCTCAATAGCTGGAGCATTGGTTATTTCAATACAAGAGGACGATCGCTGACATGGATTCCGCACAAATTGACAATCTTTTCCTTGGTATTCTCCAAAACTGTGGTCAAATTGAACCGTTTTTGGACATAATTTTTTCCTTTTTGGCCAGAAGGACAGATTTTTTTCGAATAATGCACAAAAAGGATGACAAAATGGGTTTCCCCGAAGGCATAGCAGAGAAAATGKTTATGAAGGTCAGTAAATGATATAAATTGAAATGATATAAATTACAACAGTAAAGACAGGGAATAAGATTGACATTGATTTTTCATATGCTAATATTATTTTAATTTTATTACGATAACCTCTAATATTGACTTCCTAGGACAATGTTTCTTTGTGTTATTAAAACTCAGATATTCAAGAAATACCAAAGCATAGTTCTTGGAAGTGTTGATGTAAGCAAAGAAAAGAAAACAAGCAAATCTAAGACCAAAACAGAAGCCAGAACTGATACTTCTTTGGATAGTACCCAAGAAAAACAACAAGAAAAAGAACATAAAGAAGAAGAAAAACAAGTATGATATCACTACTTAATTAATGTAAATCTGGGTAAATCTATTTTGGGCATAGTTTTCCCATTTTTGACCATGTTTCACTCCCTTGAGAATAAGATTCTTCATAAGATTCTTTAAATTTTATCATACTGACCTCTGATACATCATGTTTTGAAGAAATCTGAGATGTCTGTAGCAGCTCCAACTGTGGTTGCTTCAACTGTGGAGGTAACATCATCCGATGTGGACCAACCTGTCCATGAGCAGCCTTGTTCATCGGACGTACAAGATGAAAAGAGTAGTAGAGCACATGATACAGAACCAAGGTTTGTTTGTAAACCATGAAAATGTAAAATTCTTTTAGCTTATCACATTTAATATTATGTATTTATTTGTTGTAGTGAAAAATCTTCAGAATCTGAGTCCAAGCTTTTAGAACCAGGCAAGCTTCCTGAATGCTATAATGGTGCAGTTTTGGATAGGTACACATGGTCACAAACAATTAAGGACATAGACATTAAAGTGCCTGTGCCAAAATGTGTTCAGCGAGCCAGAGATCTGACTGTGGAAATAAAAAGCACATCTTTGAAAGTTTGTTTGAAAGGGAACATTGCATCTGAAGGTGTGTGTTGAAATAAGATACCCAAGATTAGATAATGACAGCAATGAAGTTGATATAGCATGCAATTCTTAAAAATCTTAACATTTTTCAGAACTGCCTCCTGGAAATAATGTTCTCATTGATGGGGAACTCCAGAGAACAGTAAAATGTGAAGAATCCATGTGGTCATTAGAACCAGGAAAATGTGTCCAGATTAACCTGGAAAAAACTGAGGAACGATTCTGGACAGCTGTATGTAAGGGAGACCCTGAGATTGACAGAACCAAGGTGGATTCTACGAGGAATATTGATGACTTTGATGAACAAACACAAACAGATTTCCAGCAAGTTATGTACGATCACCAACAAAAACTAATGGGCAAGCCTACAAGTAAAGAAAAGGTATGATAAATAAGACAATTACAGCAGCCATATGTCCATATTGCATGACAGGAAAAGGGAATCCTGATCCAATCACTGACAGATTGTTCAGTTTCCTCCCTGAGCAAAGGYTTAACTAAGTCTTGGCTGTCCCCTGAATTAGAGCAATTCCAAGCTACTTTGTTTCATGGTCCCATTATATTGCTGTTTCATTGGAATTATTTGAATGATGGTTTTTACAGACCAACAGATTCAATTCATTTTATTTATTTTCTGTAGAAAACCCATGATTTGCTAGAAAAAGCCTGGAATGCAAAGGGATCACCATTTGCTGGCACACCATTTGATCCTTCACAAGTGAACCTATCAGGCTGAAAACTTTAAGACTGAATTTCAAGAACAAGTGACTCATTATTAAGCCTTTTCCGGACCCCTTATATATTAATATACTGCAATGAAACATTGCCTTTTTCAAGGCCAGGAAGTCATGTTTTTGACACAAATTTTAAAGGAAGACTGTTGAGGACTTAGTGGCACATAGGATTGTGGGAACAAAATTGAATTACAAGAAGGTATAACATTGAAAGTTGCATGTTGAAAAGTATGAATTGACAAAAAAAAAAATTAATAGAATACTGTGCAAGCATGAGGTCTTTGGAACCACTTGAAAAGAGTGTTGTTATTATGCTGTTTATTAGTTATATAGTTTAATTTACTGAACATGAGAATGAAATAGTAAAAATTGAAAATTAAATATAATATTAAGGATTGCTCATTTATTAAGTAATGCTTCAAGGAACAAGAAACGACCTTGAAAATGGGGCATTGTTTCAAATTACATAGAGTGGATTGGTATAAGATTGAAGGTAGGGGCTGAAACTAGTTTACTGCTCCCTTCTTTAGTCACTATGACCTAATAAGAGGCTGCGATGATGTAACATGCAATCGAAGAATTGAAGGTGCATAAATAGGGGTTATAAGATGTTTTAGATAGAAAGTACTAAGGTTAGATACAAATGTGGGCTTGCTCCAACAAAGCCCTAAGAAAGCCTACCAAACTTTTTTAACCTTCAAAATCAAATTCATAAAATTCTTTCAATATTTTTAAAAAACCCTAAGAAAATATCTGTAAAACTATGGATTAAAACTGTTTCACTTCTTTGTTAACAGCCTTATCAATATACTCCAGCAATTGTCCCCTTTCCTCGTGAGCTGTGTTGTTAACATATATATGTCTAACATCAGTAAATCCTATAAAACCAAATATAACCTTCAAGTAAGGGACTTGAAAATCAAGTTTTGTCATGTCTTCCTTAGTGTAGTCTCCGCCCGATGATGTAACCAATAGGAGAGGTCTTCCAGTCACTAACCCCTTGGGGCCTGTGGTAGTCTCTTGAAATGTCAATCCCGGCTGAACAATACAGTCTATATATTGTTTAAGCACATACGGGATACTGAAATTCCACATAGGGCTTGAGACAACTAATTTATCTGCTGAGAATAGTGTTTTGATCATTGTTTCTACTAGAGTGATGTTCTCTCTGTCTCCTGGTATTTCTTGACCTGTCACCATCCTCATCTTGCTAGCAACGTGTGATAAATTGTACTGAAGTAGTTCTTTATCCCAAAGATTAACTTCTTGGATAACGTGATTAGGGTTTGCTTCTTTGTACGACTTGAAAAACGCCTTTGAAGCTATTCCTGTCCAAGATTTTTCGTCAGAGCCTGAACAATTTAAGTGAAGGATTTGTACTCTTTTTTCGGTTTTCCTTAAATCATCACTCGATTTTACTTCTCCAGGAAATGCAGAAATATAGGAACAGCTCCTAATGCCTCCTACATGTTTGAATAGAGGAATATTTGACGTTCGTTTCAGTAAAAGCCGGGTGTTTCTTAGTGAAAACAGTCTTGCCATTTTGAACTAGTGTGCGTTTACATTGCATAAGGCGCAGAATAGAACAAGGGGGGAGGCCTACTCTGAACAATAAAAGATTGAAGTCCCAAAATATTTCTGTATCTTCATTTGATATACTAGAATAAAAAAATATGATCTGTCATTATTATTATTATTTTTTCGTTGCTTAATTTGATGATTTATATCTATTTTATGTTTTTATAAATTATTGTTTTAATGTAATTTTACCCCCTCCCCAGCTAAGAAAGTTTTTGTAGCTGTAAGTAAGAACTAAAATTTCATTGGTCGTTGTATCTTGTCCAATGAGAGAGGCCCTTATATCGTGTCCCAGGATACCTTGCCGCATTCAGACCTTTCCAAGATGGCGTCGCACATGCTTCGGAGGTTCAACAAGAACGTTTTTACAACAGTTCTTTTAAGAACGCAGGCTGTCCGTTTAGTCTCCACAACACCACGAGTTACTTTAGCTGTCAATAAATATTCCCAGCAGCCGTCTATCGTTAACCATGGTTTGTTTGTTTCACGATTATCGCCTGTTAGCGCACGTTGCTTTGCTAGTGGAGGGATGACTATTAGTGAACTACAAGATCGAGCTTTGAACGTGGTAAAGCTTTTTGATAAGGTCAACGCCGAATTGGTTAGTATCAAATAGATTTTGCATAAATATTGATTCAGTTTCTTAAACGCAGGTTTGTAGGTAACGTAGAAAAAACGTCTACTTTTTGCATGTAGGTCAAACCTTTATTATTTTTTTGATTATGTAAGCTTAAGTCAAAATATATTAAGCTTCTTATCTTAAGGTTTGATTAAATATTACATGTACCATTCATGCAGCAAGAGAAACACAACTGATCAGTACCATTAGTGCCCTCAAAATAGATAATAACTTCAGTTTTGTGTCTAGACAACCGGGGTACCCCAATCAACACAAAAGCACAAAGCTAGCCCCTCCCTGGAATCTTCTAACATTGCCTTAAAACTAAAGAGGGCTTAAAATAACAGCTAGTCTGTCACCAAATTAGTTTTAGCTCAGACATACTTTGTTTCTAGCTCAACGTTTAAGTAGTAGTTCCAATTCTTCCTGGACAATGTCCAATGACCGGCCGTTATTTTAAGCCAAGCTACTTCAAGACAAAGCTGCTGTCAGTACCTAACTTGACAATAAAGATCCACTATTCTGCATCTACGCTGTAAAAGGACTACTTCCCTATGGGGTGAGGTTTTTTTAGGGGGGGAGGGGGAGACCAATCAAGAAAGATCTCTTATTATCATCTCTAAGAGCAGAAATGATACAAGTTTAAAGGGCCACTTGGACGAAAATCGCTCCAAAATTAAAACTCTTTCATTCGAGCTGGAACTTTGCTGAAATAATCTTGAATACATTAAGAACCACCCACTGGAATATCTTTCTGATATTCGAAAGGAAAGGGCCAAAATTTTACGATTTATTTTCGTCCGCCATTAATTTCTTTGAATCACAGAATTCGATTCAAGAAGACTGGCACGAGTACTTATGATGTCATTTACTCAACCCAAACCAAAACATTGGTGGGTAATGTATGTGCCATGTTCGTAAAACTCGGTTTATTTGGTTTATTCAGAAAATAT